GACCCCAGAGCTGGAAGCAGCTCTCCAGGTGGGGTCTCATGGGAGTGGAGGGACAGGATCACCTCCCTTGACCTGCTGGCCACACTGCTTTGGATGTAGCCCAGGACACTCTTGTGATGAGTGCACATGCTGGCTCATGGGCAGTTTTTCATCCACCAGTGCCCCCAAGTCCTTCTCAGTGGGGCTGATCTCAATTCCTTCACACCCCAGTCTACTGATATTGGGAATTGCTTGCTCCAAGTTCAGGAGTTTGAACTTGGCCTTGTTTAATCTCATGAGATTCCTATGTCCTTCCTGGGGCTGGAAACAAAAAATTACTAGAGGGTGCTTATGCACATATACACATAAAGGTATGTGGCATTACCTCCTTCAGATGCAAATAAATTGATTGTGCTTGAGGTGTTTCAAGTTGTCCTACTCTGGTTTTGTCAAATTCTTCTGCAAAACCTCGGGTCTTTGGTTACCCACGAATTCTATGTATCTTCAAAAAAATTTGTAATGCTGTCAGTGATCACAGCTTCTTTGTAAAAGGGAAATGAAAATATCATTTAATATGTGGAAGGCTTTAACAAGGTTTCAAAGGCTGTTCAAGTGCTGTAAACCCCTCAATTTTTTTCCATGGAGTTATAAGGAATGGGGAAAATGGTTGTTAAATGGTGCAAGAATGAAAATGGACATAACTGATCATATGTTGTAGTTGCCATATTATCATTATTTTGTTTATTCTGTTTATTTTACATTTGCAAAGCTCAATTCTAGACTATGTTTACAGAAAGCCTTCAAGTCTGAACCTGTTCTATCTCTGCAGAGCAAAAATGTTTTAAAATCAAATTATTTTCTTTCTATATAGACTGTGAAAATAAGACCTTGAATACAGCATGTGGTTTTCATGAAACTAGAAACCTAGCAGCAAAAGTATAAATAAAACCACCTTCAACCTAGTGTATTCATTGTGTGATTAGCTGGTGTGTGTGAACTATGGAAATGAAATCAGAAACAAAGTAAAAAGGAAATGTACCATTGACAGAGAAATATACTTAAGAGTGACTTTTCCCCCCTTTCTATCTTCATTGGGAAAAGTCTAAAGTTTTCCTAGTCACATACAAAACCAGCTAATTAAAATTATTTTATTTCAGCAAGGCCTTCATTGCAATCTAAACCATTTCAGACTTGGACTAAAGTTGTCGAGCTGGAGAATGTAAGATGGGTGATTATTTAAATGATATAATAAGGTTTTTCTATCTATAACTTTCAGTAACTTTATAATTATTTTTTCTTTTAATGTAAGAATTTACTTATGCCCCCAGTCTGTCACTAGAGATGTGTGCAGACATGTAGGGCTCTGAAGACCCTGTGGTTCTCATTAGGTTTGAGTCCAAATTTCAGCAGCAGGTCTGGTCCTACAATATTTTAACACGATTCCTGGGGCTACACTCTACCTTTCTAGTTTGGCCAATTAAAAACAAACAAATCAAAACAATAACAAAAAAAAATAAACTAAGGAGAAGAAGAGATTCATCTACTATACCATAATAAAAGATATTTGTAAACAATTTCTTTAAATATAGGACACAATAAATGAAGTTATATGTTGGAGAGAATATTATAGGTTTATTTTAAATATGCAGTTAACTTTAATCTTTTCTTTCAATGTACTGAAATCTATTGAGTCCACTAAGACTGGTAATAATCTCCTTTGGTTTTGCTGATGTATTTCTGCTTTTGCCCTATGGTTAAGAGATGTTCATGTCAGAGTTTACACTGATATTTCAGCAGCTGACCACAGGGGAGCTTGAAGCTTTACAGAGGATTCTTGCCAGTACTGAACAGTGTTCACAAAGGCTTCATGCACTGTATTCCCAACAGAACTAGGTTAAACAGACACTTGGTAAGACACTTGCTTAAAACCTACTTTCTTGTTACTCTTGTAAGGTTTTTGGTTCTACTACTGTAATATAAATCCAGGTGGAGTTATCCTGTTCAGCCTCTGAAAAGGTGGGAGCCAGGAATGTGGGGACATGGGAGTCTCTACATATTTTGTACTCTGCTCTTTTGGGAGCAATATATACCTTTGTGAGCTGTGCTGTAAATTGCTATCAAAGCCAGCAGGTTAGCAAGTTTGTGAAGTTTCATCATTTCACTCTTGGTTTGTTGCATTCTTTTTTTGAGTGGAAAGGGATCTCCCTTAAAATTCCTAGTAAATCAGTTCACTTGGTACTGTAGATCAGTCTTCCCCCTTTCTGTCCCTTCCCTGTTTGTGGTTTAGCTCCTTCCTTGCCTGCACCACCTTGTGCCACCAATATCTACGGAGGAAGATGGGTCTGAAAACTGAGCTAGGTGACGAGTGAACAAGAAAAGATGGGGGCTTTCAGCTGGATCAATTCCACTGGCATGGCCTTGGCATGACAGAGGTGGTGAGGACCAGTGGCATGAAGAGGGGTGAGGGAGAGGAACATCTCTGACTGCAGCAGGATGGGTTAAGGAAAATACTGAATCACAAGCCCTCCTTAAACATACACAGGACAGATTTTCACCCAAGAAAAGGAATCTTTTGGGTCTCCCTTTCATGTTAATTCCCATGCCAAATAACATCTTAAGACTCTATTTTTACAAATCTTTAACTCTTTCATATCTCCTCCCACTCCTTTGTCCATCCTCTTTAGCTGTGTACTGGGGTCATAAAGTCCAGAACCCTCTCAAGTCCTCTTTGTGTTGCTTTTAAATAAGTCCTTTGTATATTCATTTATAAATGCTTATTTTGATAACTATGTGCACAGAAGGTTACTTGGTTCCTCACTTCAGTGATGGAAATAAGATTGATTGCACAAAATGTCAATGACAGCCAGGCTGGGGAGCTTGCCCTGGGAGGACCCTGTGAAATTTCTTTTAACTTTGACAAGAACAGAGCTTGAGATTAAATGGCTGATGCAAGTGGCAAAGACCATTACTGCTGGAAAGGGTAATACCCCTTGGGGGTAAGCAAGTGAGGGCAGCTTTGTGCAACAGTTGTCATAAAATGAATAAAATATGCATTTTTCCTTCTTCTCACGATAAATGCCTTGGAGTTTGCTCCATGTTATTCTGTAAGAGAATTTTTTTCCCTGCTCACCCATATGTTATTGTTCCCATTGGCTTTATCTGAACCATTTGGGCAAGCCAGAGTTGCAGGATTTACTTTTGGCATGTAAAATGCACATTTAATAACATTACGTAATTTTAAAGTACTTCACAGATGTGAGTGAAGCCTCCTGCCACCTTTATGAAGTTAACAAGTGTGATAACTTGGGAAAGGGTGGGGAACAAGGTCCAGAAGTTTAGTACTCCTTAAGTGTCTTCCCATAGTTCTTCCTAGGAAACCTCCACCTCCCTGCTTTTGCTGTGTCCTGCCTGAGTTACCCATGTCCTCCTTTCTTCACCTGTGTATCTGCTAATATCTGCTTATTCATGCTCCAGCCTTGGCTGGATGGTGTTGGTGTTGGTGGGGGGTGATGCAGGTGCCTCCTGCCACGGAGTCAAACTGTCTCCAATTTGAGGATAATGAAATATGATAGCTTTGGGTCAACAGGTCACACCACTGACTAAATTAGTAGCTTTAAGTGTTTCGCATGTGTGGGAAAAAAAAAAAAAGGTGTGAATTATGTCTGTTCTTACCAGTAACTGTGGTTGTTGAAACACTTTAAAATATGAAAACATTTTTTTAATACTTAGGTTTACTGTATTCAGTTTTTCCATTGTTTATACATGCAAATATATTAATAGGATTTATTTTGCCTTCTTTTTCAGTTCATGTCACAGAATGATACAGTGTTGCTGAGACAGAAAAGTCTTTTCATGCACTGCTTTCTGGAGAGATCGATTTTGTTTTAATTTCTAACCTGAAAGCATTTCTGGATTTACACTGACTTCAACTTTATGAAAGCAAATGGTTTGTGGTTAAATTAACCAGTTAGCCGTGCTTGAAAATAATTTGCACCATTCCCAGCCTGATGAAACTTTGTTGGGGGGCTTATTGACTGCCCAGGAATCATAATTCAGGCTAGCACTTATATGTGACAGACTCAATAGGCTATTTAGTCTTTTCTAGGTATTATTTTAAGTGTGATCTTTGTTAATTGGATGGATTAATTTGGTGCTGTTTTCTGTTAAAGTTCCTTCTGTGAGTACCATAACTGTACTTGCTCTGTAGACACTGGGTAATAATGTTTTATCACTTTGACCTTGTTTTTTCCTGTGATTTCCTTTTTGATATGGCTGAACACTTCCATCCCTTTCTCACAGGTTGGTTATTATGATTATTGTCAAGAATGTGGTGACGTAGCCCAATAAATCAAATTCCTGGCCCAGGCAAATGTTCACAGACAATACACTTGGAACCTCCACACTTCTTCCACTCTTAGATTCTCCAAAGAACAGAAAAAACATAAAGCCATCATAAATATTTTTGATAATTCTTATTAAAAACAGGAAGAAGTATATAATAAATCTGTTTGAAAACTACAACAGGTGTAAAACCTTTTTTTTTTTTAAAGCTACAGAATTGTTCCCACTGCAGAGCTTGTGATTTGGTCCAAGGAACTATGGGTGTTTGTGTCCTGCCTGATGAGAAGGGAAGGTGTGAGAATCCTGCATCAGCAGGCTTTGGATGACTTGCCTCCCTCATTAGAGTTAGCCTCTAAGCATAGGCTTAACCTCAGAAGTGTGAATTTCCATGTCCCATCCAAAGTTATCATCATTAACAGTGATTTATCCACATGGATATTTGGTTCATTTTTGACTCTTGCTAAGTTCATGGCCTCAATATCTGAATGCTGAAGCCTGTTTGCACATCCCATGGAAAGGTGTTTTCCTCAGCCAGCTTGAAATTTTATCAACACTTAATTTTGATCTAATGCCTTCTCAAGCTCATGTTACAAAAGAGATTAGGAACTTCCCTTTGGCCTCTGTTCCATGGCTAATGCATTGTTTTATTTACTGTTCAAATGTCTGCTTTTTTCACTTGTGTTCTAAAATGCTGGCTCATAGCATTAAGTCCCAGATCTCTTGTAGCTCTAGTTCATAAGGTGCTTTTTTGTTTTAGTTCACATATAGAAGCCAAATCTATTAGTGTTCTACACTGGTCAAAAATAAATGCCCGGAGGAGTGTTTTAGGAGAGGAAAACATACAGTGATGTTTCCCTGACAGGCTCTTCCAGCTGCAGCTGCCCATGCTCAGGGATTACCTGGACCCAAGGTGGTGCTTATCTCCATAAATTTGAACTCCAAAGTGATACAGGTATTTTTGGGCATAGCACAGTCCTATGGCTTAAGAATATGATAAATTAAAAAGTATTTCCCCTTGATTATCTGAATCTGCTGCTTGCTTTTATCTTTAGATGGCTTTTTAGTTCTTGGATAAGAAGGCATAAAATGATCTTTCTTTCTCTATTTACCTTACTCTTGTCACTAATGGTTTTATTAGCCTGTACATACCACCCTGTAATCAGGTCTGGAGAATCTGCCTCCCTAATCATCCCTGAGGTGGCAGCTGTACTTTAGCACACATTACCTTTGCTGCCTTTCCCACACCTTTTTTAGGTCCTCTGTAACATCTCAAGTGGGGCAGAATTAGAACTGCACAGAAATATCTATTTCGTATCTGCAGCAGTGGAGCATTCTCCTTTTTACTCTTTCCTTTTTTCCTCCTGTTTTATGTAATATGATCTGCCTTTCTTAACTGATACATATTCATACACATTTTTAACTTCAGAATCTTTTTCCTGAGTAGCTGTGAATGGTTAGAAGTCTCCATCATGTATATAATATACAACTGATGTCTGGTTTTCCTGTCTCTATTCCTTGTAGGTTTCATCTTGCTGTTTCTTTATTCAGCTACTATCTTCTGATGTTAGTGCAGTTCTTACCAGCTCTCCTTTATTCTTAAAATCCTCAACAATTTCATTGCTTCACTACCCACCTGTCTTTCTATAGTTTCAGGAATTTGTTGAATAATGTGGCTGCCAGAACCAGATTCAACCAGAGCATTTGATGCTCTCCAACAGAGAAACCTGTATTTCTTCCTACTCTATGGAAAGGCCTTTCTTCTTGCTCTGTGGCAGTTTAGCTTCTTCTCCATCCTGTGGTGAGAGACCTTATCTAACATCTTTCAGAAATTCAACAATCAAGTGAAGTTTCCCATGGGCTAACTGGTTTAGTTAATGAACTCAAATATATTCATGAGGTATCAGGGTCTTTTCCTCCCTATTCTCTATGAAATTATTCAGATTATCATAATATTCCTTAAACATAACTTCATTGCATCTACCACTAAAGCCTTTTGCATACTTATTCAAGCCACAAAACTGATATTTTTTGAAAGATATTTTGAATGCACTCTGCATGGCTTCTTGAAGAGAAGCAACGATTCTCTTTGTGTCTTGGCTAGGGTGTTATTCTGTACTTCATCAGGGTCTTTCTTAGGTATTTTTCAGAGCGTCTCCAGGAAAACTGCTTTTAGATTTAACTTGTAAGAGTACTGCTACTAGAAATCCTTATCACTGTTGTATTTTGGGATGTTGCTGTATGAAACAGAAATATATGCCCAAAGAGTTGTATTATTTTGAAAGTATAAGTCTGCATCAAGCAGATTCAAGTCTAATTGATTTTAAATCAAAGAAAGGTTCTTTGGCTAATTTCATTTTTCAAATGAATGGTTCTTGGTTTACCAAGAACCATTGGTAAAATATTGGATGGCTGTCCCAGAATGATGAGTCAAAATTAACTAGGAGCGAAATTTAGCCATGGTGAACAAGGTCAGAAGAGCAGATATCTTCTTTTCTTTTTGATACAGCTTTTACAGCAAAGAGACAGTGACAATCTGTAAGCTATTTATATCGGAAAAATTGTCTTGGTTTGTTTTCATAACACACCTGCTCCTTTTCCCTATGAAATGGTTTTTAGATCTCTGTGCAGTCCCAACACTTGAGTCCAGTAAAATATCCAGGTTTCATGTGCCTGGGGGAGCGGTATGAGAGCTAAGGGACACCTAAAAGAATTACAGCAGGTTAGTATAAAACTGAGGAATTCCTCAGACAAGGTTTGGCACTGGGGAGGATTATGTCATTTACCCAGGGGTTGATTTAGCTTTAGCACTTCTCATTGTTTCCATTTGCTGCAATCTTCAGAGACGGGACTAATTCTCAAGGTTTTCTGAGAAAATGGATCTAAACACGTAGAACAAACCTACACTTTAAGATCTTTCCTTCTTCAAGTCTGCAGCTAAGCCTTGTGAGCTCATGTTTGTGCGCATCATGTTCAACAAAAATATGTGAGCTTTCTCCAGGCTTTCTGAGCCATTTAGGATGAATAACCATAGCTATTCTTGGAAGAAACCTCATGGCCAGTGTAGACCTTTAAACACCCATCAGTGGGCGAGATTGTCTGAATGTTGTCAATGGGATTCTGTGTAGGCAAGGGGGGCTGCCACACTGAGCCCATTGTGGGACCCAGGCCTTCCCCCTCCTGCAGGATCACATCTATTTGAGGACCAGGCCCTTAACGCAGTCCAGTTCACAGGAGGTAATGAATAACCTCTCATCCTGCTCTTTAAGGCCCCTTTAGAAAAAGCTTTTTTGAAGTTTCAATGTAATGTCTGGGGGGCGGGGGTGGGGTTGGATTATCCATAATCAGTTGCCTGAGTTTTATTTTTATCAAGTGTTAAGAGGAGCAGGGCAAGGAATGCTATGAACCTAAATCTGGATCTTTCATCAGGCTGATCCACACAAGTGTGAGGGGGAAGGTACAAATCTGGGCTGTCTCCATGATGTTCAGTGAACACCATGCTCTAATATGCCTTGGAGGGAAGAGAAAGGCTTCCTATTTTAAGTCCATCCCATTGCACTCACAAGTTGCTGTATTTCAAACTCTCATGCAAGAACAGCCAATGCTGTCTGAAGATACACAGATAAACTGCAGTCACAAATAACAACAATATTTAAAAAATAAAATCTTGCTCTTTGTGAGTGATGGAGAGACACTGAATCTTTAATTTCCTCCCTAAAAGGCTATAAATCCCTCGAATGAGGGTTTCTTTACACAAAAAACACAGCACAAAGAAATTACAAGGGAAAAAAAGGGGAGTAAAATGCAGGCCAATTACGCTCTAGCTCTGGAGTGTTGCTGCCAAGGCTATTTATTTTCACAGACAGTGTTAATTTTGTATGCACACACACAGCTTAGCTTGCAGATACCACAGTGAATTTCAATTTTGGAGGGCCTGGTTCTTGTTACCCTTAAATTCACCTCCTAATTCACTGGATATGAGGATGATTTTGACCAGAGATCTCCAGGTTATTTTATTACATCTGATTCTTAGGTGTACACATCACCATCTAAAAAGCTTTGCAGGTGATCCTAACAAAATTCTTCATGAACAGCCAAATAGGCCAAATGGAGTTAAAGTCTTTCCTCTGGGTAGGACATAGGCAAAACAACATCACTGATTTAAGGTGTCTGGTGAAGATGAAGCCTCAAAGGCAGGCCACTGAGGTGATGGTGACAAAAGCGTCAAGAGTCTGGAGCCTTCTCACCAGGTGACTCCATATCCCTATTTTTCAGATAACTACAGAAAAAAAAAAAAACCTAAATAATGCCATGCATGACCTAAGTGAATCATTCTGTAGAGCATGTTCTGAAACTTTCTCCCTCAGTGGAAAATTGTTTTCTGCACTTTTGGTGCCACAACTGAAACGGACTTTAGCAGTTTGCATCTGGCATTGGGTTCTTTGGCCACAGCAGATGTTAATTGTGAATTGGCAAGGCATAATGCTGACAGTCCATGAGTGGAGGTACAATACATGAAGCTTTACTGCGAGGACTGCAAGGGTTTGTTCAGTATTCAGTCTTCCTTGAAAGGCATTCTTATATATGCAGGATTGTTCATAATTCTTTCCCCCCTTTTTGTAAGGCATTCTTTCTTGTTATGAAGATGTCCAGTCTTCTGTGATTTAATGATATTTGTGATGTGAGAATGACAAAAGCAGATCCATGTATTTTTCAACTGAGTTTCTGTTTGAGTTTGACTGCCTAAGTGAAAAATTTAAACACTGTTAAAAACTGTTAAATTTGGAGGGAGGACAGCTAAACACCTGTTAGAGCTCAACTTTGTAAATAAGGTTAATCTGCATAAATCACTGCATTGGATCTTATGTTAATTAAAGCTTTTGTGCTTTCAGTACACTAATTGAAGTGTTGAATGTCTCATTCTCCAACCTCCTTTGCAGGGGGAACTGCAGGTGCTGAGCATTTTTGAAAAGTAGGCCAGCATGGTGCACTCAGAACCAGAAGCTTCTTTGAAATGCCTGCTTCTATTTAGTAAACAAAGCTTTTATTTTAATAATGGTCTCTTAATAAATTTATCCTTTGGCTTTCCCTAAAAACTCAGCAAGGCAAATAAAAGATTCTTATGAATTGAACCCCTACTGAGGGACAGTAAGGTAAGGAATAATATAGGCATCTCCTAAAGTGTCATAAAAATGTAATTGTGCCCTTTGTGATAAATGAATTTACATTCTTCAGCAGTCTCCAAAATGTCAGTTGCACATGACATGTGTGTGCTTGGAAAGGTGTGGCTTCTTTTCACAGGAACCACACAAATGCTTGGGACACTAAATAAAGTTTTTGGTTTTCACTTTCTACAAGTGTGACACTGTTTCAGTTTTGGAAATCAAATTTCACAACACGTGACTTTCATGAATGGAGTTCACTAGCATTGAGGTAATTCTAAAAAGGAGGTATTTGTTTGGCAGTGCTCTTTGAAATGTAGAAAATTTCATTAATCCTTTGACAGCAGTCATAGGCAGGAACTGTGAGAGGGTTTGGATGGACCCTCTGTTGGATGGGATATGTTACCATTTGAAGCTATTTTTAGTTGAATCCCATTGTTACTCTTCAAAAATAATAAGTGATACAATTATAATTTTGCTGAACATTAGGATCGACGTGGTCTATATCCTTTCAGAAAGCACAGTGAAATACTTCATATCCACACATCCTATATACATTTCATATATTCAAAAGTTTCTCTTCAGATACACAACACTCTTACAGTACTAAGTTTCTACAGAGTTTCTATGTCGTTTTATAGCCATACCATTGGGATGATAAGTGTCTTGTCTTGAGATTCCTTGGGCATTTCTTATAGTGAAATTGCAGCCAATCTCTTAATCCTGAAATGAAGGTGAGATCCGGTCAGCAACTGGTCAAGCTTTGTCTGAATTATCTCAATTATTAGAGCCTAGTCAAACGTGAAAGATGTTTCTGAATTTCTGTTCCCTGTCTTGCCTTTGAAGTTTCCTGATCAAATACTTCCTCAGACATCAAGCCTCTGTGCTGAACATTTGTTTATAAGACTGCATTGCTCTGAAAGCAGTGTAAATAAAGGCTCAAAAGGTCATGTTATGTTTCAGTAATATTTATCTAACTTTCTCTTGATGAAAAGCAAATAAATAGTTTGTGTTATTTATATAAATGAGGTTAAATAAATTGTGGTTCAGTGAAAACTGAGGATGTCTCTAGTACAGTCTCTGTGATGCCATATCTAATTTCCCTAAACACTAAGTTAACTACAAATAAAATTGTGGAAACCCATTAGGTCTCACTTTTCATTCTCTCCTAATAGAAGCCTGTTGTAGTTTTTTTATTTCTTTTATCTTACTTTTATTTTTTAAGTGTGATGGGGAATTTGTTTTGAAAATCCCATCTCCTTTGCTTGCCAAATTAAAGAAAATCAAGTCCCTTTTCAACAGCTAGAAAGATATATAACAAATTGACCATAAGGAGCGGAGGTATCATGCAATATACTTCGCTGACATAAAAGGTATGAGGTGACCTCACAGCCACCCTGAAGTCAGTGACAGTGCTGCAGTAGACACCACGAGAGCCAAGCTGTCTCTCTTTTGTGATTTTATCTAGTGATCTCCATGTGAGTAGATGAACTGTAACCCATATGGCAGCAGCAGCGAACTGCTGCCTCCTTAACTGTACAAAGAAGAGAAAAATACAACCTTTTTAATCTACCTTGTGCATCTTCAAGTGTTGGCTTCTGTAAATCATTGGTATCCAGATACCAATCCCAGAAAGTTTGGGCACCCAGCTGAGCTGAATCCACATGCAGTTCTGAGTAGTAAAGTAGGGATAAAGTGCTGGGAAGAGAGGGAGGAGGGAGCAATGGTGGCATGCGTGTAAAAGGAAGAAAGCCATTTACATCATGGTAAATATACAGCAAAATGAACAAGCAGTGTTTTTTTTAGTAAATAAATTATGGCTCTCCACACAAGTGAGAAAAAAGTTATTCATCACCTATGGTGGTGAGAACCCTGTTCTTACCAAGTGGTGAGTATGTGGATAGGAGCAGAGTGTTTGAGGTTGCTAAACCATGGATTCCCAACACCGTATGCATTTAGTTTTCTTGGCTTTTGGGTCAGTGAAAGATGACAGGAACACTGAAAAGCTCCTCATCAATGCTATTCCTGTCAGACTAGAAAGCAAGAAAAGCTCCTCATCAATGCTATTCCTGCCAGACTAGAAAGCAAGAAGATAGGAGCCCTTCACAGAATGGCTGAGAAATATATGTGCTTTTCGTACAAACAGGATTCAAGACTAAATCTCAGCTAAGCCTTTATTGAAAATCATACTGGCATTCAGGAGTGCTTGAGTCTTGTGAGGGAAAACCTCTTGTGAGGTTTGTAAAAACAGTTCCCAGGTTTCCAGTCACTGGGGTGTGAGTAGTGTATATTTCTGCTGTGGCAGTTTTCATCAAGCACATCTAGATTTTAAATTTATTTTGCATGTCTATTTTGCTACATTTTAATGGATCCTATAGTACCTTTTGACCTATAAAGAAGGTAATACTTGATTTCCAGAAGTTTATGATAGAATCCAGTTTCTAAAGAATTGTAAAATAACTGAGCAAAAATTCCAGTGGTTATTGCAAAAAGAAAACAAACAGCTCTGCCATTTCTGACAGTTACTGAAAGTGGGTAGGGATCCCTCTTTACTGGAAGAAAGGTGAAAACTTTTTTCTATTTCTTAGGTTTTTTTCAAATTACTTCTCAGTCTTCATCTGTATTAAATTTTTTTCCACGGGGGAGAGAGAGGCTGGCCACTCAAGAAAAAAAAAGTAATAGAAGAGAGTCTCAATATAAGGTGGGGCAAATTAATTTTTTGAGCATTCCTTAGCATCCAAATTCCACTATTGCCCTGAAAGGTTTTTGAAATATTCATTGTTCTTTAGATTACAATTATTTCTAGCATGTGGCTAGGGGAGTACTGGAGTCCAAAAGCCAAAGTGGATGCAGTTTGGATCCTCAGCTTGCCTAAGATGCTCCTCTTTCCCCTAAAAAGCCCTAAAGTCTGTGGTTGTTAGGGTACTGTCTGTGGGTCCTTCTTCCCTTGCTATTCATGGCAGCACTTCCAAGCTCAAGCAGCTCCTGTCCCTCTTTGGATTTTGTGTAGCTGGCACAACAGATGGCTCAGGAATATATGTGCTTTGAGGGCTCTCACATTCCAGCTCCCCCTTTAGAAATACAAACTCTCATCTAATATCCATAATCCTTCATGTCAACTGTTTCACATTAGAAAGAGATATAATTCTGGTCTGCTAAACAAAATTTCCTAAGGGCAGACCTGCTAATGATTAGCGGACGTAGTAATGCCCAATAAAAGCAACTTGCAGTGCTGAAGTAGATATTACCACACCCAATAACCAATTTCATTGTTTGTTGATTTGTAGAATTCAATTGTGAAAAGTTTTAAGAAGACTAATGATGTAAGTCTTGCATTCACCTTATGAATACTTCAATAAGTTACTCAGATTTTATTAGCAGTAACCCAACACACACCGTATTTCATCTGAGAATTTGAAAGCACTTTATAAACAAGAGTCAGAACACCAAGATTCTTCTACACTGTGTCCTTAGTATACTGTTTATTTCTTCTCAGATCATTCAGATGAACAGACAAGGTTAATGGTGTAAGATATAACAGAAGCTGAGCAGAGCCATTGTTTCCTTCCTTCCTTGCACCAGCACAAACATTTCTAGGAGTATACATGAACTACTCTGCAGCAGGATGCTGAAATGTCCACAGCTCAGGAAGTAAGACACAAACCAGATGGGGAAACTCACTGGGACGTGAGGTGTAGCATCACCATCAGGAATGGCACCACGTGGCAGAGTCAGCTGAAGAGTGCCACTGGAAGGTAGGAATTACCAACATGGTCTGCAATGGCCAGAGAACCCTCACTGTGCTTCCACTTTTGAACCTGTGGCTTTCTCTTTGTTTCTTGGGTTTGGTTTTTTGTTTGTTTGTGGGAGTTGTTTGGTTTGGTTTCATGCTGTATTGTTGTCAGGTTTTTTAAGCTTTCAAAAGAGAACAAGCTTTTACAAAGGTCTACCTGAAAATCATAATATTTCATCCAATGTTGCTCTGATGGGATTTCTGTAAATATTTGGGCAACAATCAGTAGTTTTAAAATAGTGGATTTGCCAGAGCTCTGTTGGCATTCAGATTTTAAGATAAATTTGTAGGCAGTTTTACCTGAAATAAGGGAATTACTCAACTTTTTGCCAAACTTTATCATAAAAAAAAATAAATCTTGGTGCAGCAGCTTTTTTCGAATCATTTCAGGCGTCCCTGTGACAATAAATATAAATGTCACAAACTCATTTATCTCCTAAGTTTGGATAGGATATAACTTACCTCATCTTTAAAGAATAACATTGGCACTCTTGCTCCCACTATCGCTGTCTCTTTGGAGACCAATATTCAAATGCAAAGAGTTAGTTCTTTCTGCCATACAACTTTATAATGAAAGATCTAAGTTCCAAGGGTGAAATGCATACCAAATTTTATTGAACCTGGAAAGAAAGGTTTTCTCATTGAGAATGCCCAGAATCAGTTTCACTTGGGCAAAATAATTACCTGCAGTTGTCACAGGTGAAAAGTGTTAGCCAAGGAAGCACATATGCCAGTCTATTAATTTGCTGAGAGACTAGGTAGAGTACTTTGAACTATATTTCTCTGCCTAGTGGAGAAAGAAACTGAGTATGTCCCTTGACTGATTCTCAAAACCGTATAATTAATGACTCCAGAGAGAGTGAGAAAGTTACAAAATTTTTGAAAGGGTATTCTGAGTTCTGAAATGACATATTTAACATCAAGTAATCAGCAGAAGAGATTCCCCAGCCCATTTAAATATTCAATACTTTATGCATGATGATATCAATCATTCTTAAAAAGCACAAGCTCCTTAAAAATCTCCTATGTTTCTCCTTATCACCAATTTTTACAGTAAGTATGCAGCACAATTTACTGCCTTGGTCTGTGCATGGAATTTCTATTGGCAAGAGCGAGAACTGTGTGTGCTCCCAGTCACAGGTACAGTTTGGCCTTTGGGCAGCTCTCCTTCAAATGAGCCCATAGGGAACAGTACCACACTGGGCAGCCAAAGGACTCCTAATTTCCACCATTTTGTACAACTGAGCACTCTGTTTGCTACCTTCCAAAAGCAGCAAAGCTCTAGCTGAAATGTAGTTCCTAGACTAAAATCAAAATGGTGAGGGAGCTTTTAAAGCACTACACTGATAGATTTTGTTTAAGGTTATTTTTATTTTCTTTGCAAGACAATCGGTTTAATTAATCTTGAGTTTCTCCAGGATAATATTTTCAGAATTGTTGTTCTGTTATAAGCTCATACACAGTGTTATTCTGTACAGTTCTGATGTCAACTCTGTTTACTTTGGGTAAGTGCTGCTAGGGACGCTTATTTTGGAGTCACTATTTCACTAAATGCTCAACTGTAGAAAAGCTCAGTGAGGTTTTTTTCCACAGACCAGAAGCTGAATGACTGTTGTCAGTTAGAACATACTGTTTTCACAAGGAAACTTAGATGAAGACAATACTCCTGAATTTATCTTTAAGCCTTTGAGCATATTTTATGTCCCTGGCTTTTCTCTGGGTTTCCCACCTGCAGTTAATTCCAAATGAATCTTCATCTTGACAGTAACATAGAAGGGCACTATGGCATCATTTTTGTGCATCTTTTGCTCATGTATGTCTGCTCTAGTGTCACTACAATGTAACATGAGCTTCCCATCAAATATATAATCAGATGAATATCAAACCTATGCAGGAATAAATTGCACTAGTGTGTAGGAATACTAATGCCTAAGCAGTGGTAACCAGTGCCATTTTAGACACCCTGCCTGCCCTTCACCTCCCTTTCTGGAGGCTGCAGATGTGCTGTGCCACATTTGCCAGCCTCAAACAGATGTCTTGGAGCTACAGGGCATCAAAAGCTATTTTGCATCTATTGCATTAAGTGCCTGTGTTTTGGTGCTCAGGTCATTCTTTACATGCCCTGAGTCCTGGTTAAATGCCTTGGCCTGAACACTTTTTTTTTTTTCTTTTGAAGTTGAGCATTCTCCTACTATTACAACTAGAAAAGAATTTAATTTTTCATTTTGGAAGGTATTGCACGGGAGGCAAATTCTGATGAGTGCTTCTCAATAGCATAATTAAAGACATAACAAGAACATGAAAATTACATGTCTGCAAAACAAATTGAAATTTTCTCTCCTCCCACTCTTTTGAAAGGATATGTGGGGTGAAACATGAAAATTCTCAACAATCCCTTTTTGTGAGATTGCAAACATTTTAAGTGGTTATCACACCAGGTATTTTCTTCACCACACATGGCTTTGACACTCTTTTAAACACAAACATACCCTCGATTACTTGCATGGCGTAATGCTGTAAGCACCAGGGTGCAGCGATGGTGGGTAGGCTCTCTTCTTTTTCTTCCTAAACACAGGAATTCTCTAATGTTTGAAGTACACAGGAAGGATCTGTGCAGGATGGTCCCATTCTCCCACTCCTCTGCTGCCTTTCTTTCCTTTCAGCTAATTCAGTAAAGCCTCATTAGTGTCGGAAGGTAGAAGATGAAGTCATGCAAACCAACACACCTTAAATCACTGGGCAACAAAGGAACCCTGTTGATCTCCCCAGACTTTTCCACCCAGGAATGAAAACCCACATGAGGCACACCAAATGCTTCTGCTTGTAACAGAAGTGGCAATTCCTCTTTTTGGGCCAAATGCTACTCTTAGATGCATACATAAGACCCTGCTGAGGAAAATGGAAGACAAATGGAGCATCAACTAGCAGAATTTGGCCCAGAAATACCAGAATTCCTAGACCTGTTAATTGACTGCAATGGTGGCACTGAGGTTAATAATCACACTAAAAAGTGATGTCCCCTACCATAATATATTTACTGTGAAAATCTTCCCTGCGGCACAGGCAGAAGCCTCTCCTATATTTCTCCTATTCCCATCTCAAGCAAATTTAGGTGACATGTCCAATGTGCAACACATATTCACAAAAAAAAATAAAAAAATCAGTTTGGATGTCTCTGACAGCAATAATGTACTCTCAATAAAATGAGACAAGCAACACATTTTCTTGCTGAAACCTATTAGAAGCTGGGAGAGATGTGAAGAGCCAGATTCCCAGCTGCACTGAGACATTTTGTGTTGCTAGAACAATGGGACCAAAAGGAGATGGATCTTCCCACAGAGCAGTTTATTCCATTGTTGGGAAATCTGTAGCCCCAGTGGCTCCTGCAGCTGGTGGCAGGCAGAACACTGAAGACAGGAGATGACAGGACTAGTATTGCTGTTCTCTGTCCTTGCAGGCTATAGACAAACAGCTGGTTTAGCTTAAAGCAACACCAAGCCTTTTTTTAACTGCTCATTACTTAGATCAAATTAGAAGTAGGAAGCAGCAGCCAGCTCCATTGTCATCCTTCTACCTTGTATCTGCAACTGGCAGCTGTAGGGTACTGCTAAAAATGCTGAGAGAGTTGCTGCTTATCCCCATCAGAGATTCAGGAGGCTGTGCCGTGCCTGCTGCTGTCTTGGCAGGCAGCTTCCTATAAAGAGGCACTCCCTCTCTCTCTGATGTAAAAGTTAACTCCGCTCCTAAAAAACCCTAATTGCACATGTCCCTTCAAAGTCCTGGGGGCAAATAAACCCCCTGTGTGCTCCTCTGAAATGGCTGCTGTGTGGTGAAGTGAAATGGGTGTCTCCAAACCCCCAGTCCATCAGTGGAACTGTGTGAGGCTTTGTGCCTCACATGTGGACAAGGAGGTCTCTGCTCACTTCTCCCTCAATGATAGGACAAGCATTCTCTCTCTCTTCTTTATCCAGCCCATTCCTTTCATGAAACTGTTTGGAGCTTTGTGACTGCTGCCCATCTGCTTTTTTGAAATTGTCTGATGGTTTCAACTTTACTAGGAGGGAGATAAAGATGTACACTCACTGCCCTGCATGCAGCACATTGCATTGCTTCATTAAGAAACGAGATTTAACATAAAACCAAGAAAGGTAGCTAATTTGGTTATGTTCTTAATGCTGGATTTACATTATTGTGACACCACTGATGCCACTCGTCCATAGAGATATGACAACTCCCAAGGTTTACTGCTTTTTTGAACCCCTGTAACCAATTACATCAGGACAAGGCACGTCTAAATTGCTATCAGTAGAAAAGCAGCATTTTAAAATCCCTTTGTGGGGTATGTATCACTTCAGATGGGTCTGAGTAACCATGAATCAAGCTTTGAACCTCTTACCACATGTTAGGAGTCCATCTAAATCTTCTCATCCTCTCAGTGAAGAACAATATCTTTCACCTGAAGAGACATTATTAAGTGGCAAAATGGATTAAAAGGAAAACGGGGGGGAAACAGAATAATAATAAAAAACCCTTCAATCACTTAACTCACAGATGCAACTAATTGATTTGAGGGTTGGCAGGGGAGTGCCATGTCAGCTAGTTTGATGTAGTAATTAATGCAATCATCCCTCTTTGTTATTATTTTAATAAGGTAAACACCCTGTTAAAATAAACTGAAACAGTTGTCTCTGGCCCAGAACTTGCAGTTGTGGTGAGTAGCGTAATAACCCCACAATGCAAAACTTGGACAGGAAAGAACGAATTACATTAATCCCCAAAGGTTCTTACAGCAGACTTTTGAAGTTTTAACTTTAGAGTGGAAAAGGAGATCTGAAACTTGGGGAGTGTTCACCCTGTGGCTCCTGAGAGAAAGCAGCGTGTCTGCTTGAGCACCCTGAGTCCAGCTAAAAGGGGCTGGAGATAAACTCAGTTTCTGCAAACACTCACATGTGGGCTTATCTGCACTACCACAAATGGTCCCATGATATTAAAAGTTCAACACAGGCATAAAAATCAGCACTTTCACAGGTACCTTCTGTACTGTTTTGGAGTATCAGTATGAAGAGAGTTTCAGTTTTGGTTTTAACCTAATGACTGTTTTTTAGAAGTAGTTTCCAGGAAAACCCACTCTCAGTAGCATGATTCAAAGAGCTGCTTTATTTGTTTGGGTTTCCCGCTTCAGGTTTTCATTCCAAACAACAGAATTAAGAAGCTGTGCTGTATTATTAAGGATGACTTTAATAAAAAGGAGTTGCTGAAACACAGCAAAATGAGAAAAAAAAATCCTGCTAACAACATTTTTCTTTCCTATTAATTTTACAATGATTTAACTGTAAGATGAGTGCAACCCAGGATTTTATTCATATATTTGACATTTTGCTTAGGTCCTAAACCCCCTTGTTTTAGTGGTTTTACCTAAAAGGCATAAGCTCTCCTTTGGACTGAAATCTTTGCACATGGCCTGAAAAGTTTCATATACTTTCGTACAAAATCTATCTGGCTTCTTTGAGAAGTCCCATGTGAGCAGAAGATTTGGGTTTCTTTTCAGCTCCTGCTCTTCCCAACGATGCCTCAAGCCTTAATCACCTAAATGATAATTTACCAGATTCCCATAAGATACAGGTCCAAAGACAAATTAAATCACTGGAAATGCATGAGAAATTTTTGTGATGAATAATGTAGTTTCCAAGATGGCAAGTGCAGGGCATGTTGTACCAGGGTAGATTTACAATGCAAATGGGTTACAAGGGGTTATGGCCTCCTTATTCATGTCAGCCAGCATAATGTGCTCAGGGTGTTATGGGCAAAATGGACTCCATTTGTGAAATTTTTACTTTATTACTTATTGCCAATTAACATAAATCTCTGATTACTAATTAGAGAGTACTGAGAAAAGTTGGGTGGGAGAGTTGATCTGCAGGAGGGTAAGAAGGTTCTGCAGGGGGATTTGGATTGATGGCCCAAGGCCAATAGTCTGAGGTTCAATGCAAAATGCTGGGTCCTGCATTTGGGTCACAAAAATCCCAGGCAGCACTACATGGCTGGGGCAGAGTGTCTGGAAAGCTGCCCAGAGGAAAAGGTGCTGGTCGACAGCAGCTGAACATGAGCCAGACAGAAGGTCAATGGCATCTCGGCCTGTATCAGAAACAGTGTGGCCAGCAGGACCACAGGGCACTGACTGTACCTCTGTTCAAGGCCACACCTTGAATCCTGTGCTCAGTTGTGGGCCCCTCACTACAAGAAAGACATGGAAGTGTTGGAGAGTGTCCAGAGAAGGGCATTGGAGTGGTGAATGCTTTGGAGCACAGTTTTTATGAGGAGTGCCTGAGCACGCTGGAGTTGTTTAGGCTGGAGAAAAGGAGGGCCAGGGAGAACTTTATTGTTGTCTACAACTACCTGAAAGAAGATTGTCATGAGATGCAGGTTGGTCTCTTCTCCCAAGTAATAAGTGACAGTTGCACCAGGGGAAGTTTAGATTGGCTATTAGGAAAATTTCTTCATGGAAAGAGCAGCCAAATTCTGGAACAGGCTGCCTAGGGAACCACCACTAAAATACCTGGAGGTATTTAGAAGAACTGTGGATGTGGCAGTTTGGGACCTGGTTTAGTGGTCACACAGCAGTGCTGGGTTAATGGTTGGACTTGATGATCTTGAAGGTCTTTTCCAACCTTAACGAATCTGTGATTCATGCCCTCCTTCTTCACTAGTCATTGCCTGCTATCAAACCCCTGTTATTTATCCTCAGTGCACAGGGTCCCTCTGCAGGTTGTGCTGTCCCCTCCATAGAGACCTCACCCAGGGCTGTTCATTCAAGTTCTTCCAGGGTTAGTATTTTTACAGGAAAAGCTTCAGAAAGCTTAAGACTGTCCTTGCTATGTTGGATAGAGAGAAGTATTATTCACAGCATATGGCTGTGTGTGCTCCTTAATAAGCTCCAGAGCTTTACTCCAACAGAGTGTTTTCTTGTCAAATTTTAAATTTGTCATTTCTAAAATGGTTGAAGCCAAGAACAGAAATAGTCTGCATAGTCCGCAGAGAAAGCAGTTGAGATACGTATGTCATAGAATCGTAGAATGCTTAGGGTTGGAAGGGACCTTAAAGTCAAAGTTATATATAAAGAGTAAGGATGCTACTTAAAATAACTTTTAATTCCGTTGCTTTCACTCCTTAGCTGAAAGTCCCCATTCACATTCCTACAGTCACAGCCTCATATTTGGTTTCTTGCTGAAAACGGTCAGCTCTGAAACAGGAAAATTAAGAAATCACCAGAGCAATGTCCGTTCCTTTCTCTTCGGGCACATTTGTAGGCAGAGTGAGAAACCAGCCCCTTGAACCTCAGTGCGCTGCGCCAGACGAAGGAGCGGCTGTGAGAAACAAGAGCCATGCCGTGGGTCAGGGCAGCATTTCCCCGCTGTTGCTCCCCTGGTGTTTGGTGGCTCTCCCACCAAAGTGAGGAACGTTTCCCCGTTCCGGCAAAAAGCGCATTGCTCCGTCTCTTTCTCCCATGAAACCCAGTGACCAGGCAGCCACGGCGCTGGCCGACTCGGGGAGGAAACAATTCCAGACCTTTTGGTAGCAGCTTTTACCTTTGCTGGGGTTTGATCAAGTAGTTGTCGGCCGGGTCAGTTCACGGGGCACTTTGCCCCGTAGCCACCCTGAAAAGGAAAAACGGAGGAAGGAAAAGCAGCAGCAGCAGCGGTGCTGACAGCGGCCCGCGCCCCGGGGCCGATCCGGGGGCCGATCCGGCCGGGCTGAGCGGGAAGCAGCGCGGCGGCCGCCTGAGCTTCCCGGCCGCGCCACAGGAGGGCACGGCCGCACCGGGAACGCGCCGACACAACCT